ACGTAGATTTACTGTAGGAAAAAGATTAAACAGAGAAATATCCTGACAAGTCCAAGAAAAGTAGTCAACAATCATCGCATCTGTGCATCGCGTTATCATAGTATAAAGATCACGCTTGTTTGGTCGTCAAGCTCAACCTGATTATGCTGTGATTTGCGTTGTATTGCTAAGTATATAATACATAATTACTTAAAATGGAAAAAAAACACAATATAGACAAAATCTAGATTTAAGTATGAATTAAAACTAAGATCAAACAAAAATGCAATGCTAGCATAAAATTTAAAGCTCACCTGAACAAGTTTCGGCAGCTCAATTATAGGCTCATAGTGAGGATCATAGTGAGGATCATGGTTTACATCTTCAGCATCCGTCGCCCCAGATGCGGTTCCCATGTGTTTGGAAGGAGACGAGAATAGCTGAGTTCCTGCACCTGCCCATATGACCTCAGAAGTAGTGGCGCTGGTCTCGACACCTTCCCTGACATCCTCTGCTACAGTTTTCTTTTCCCAGAAAGGTCTAGAAGCAGCTGAAGCTGCCAGAGAGGAAAAGTCGATTCCGTTAGGTTCTTTAGCCATTAGATAAGAAAGGCCAGTGAATTTGCCGGCACCGAGAACCTTAGAATTTGTCTGCTCAATTGAACATACAGTGAGGGGCTTTGAAACTGATTCAAAACAGCCGTCATTATTAGAAGAACCGAGGTCTCGCGACATACCTCCGTTAGTATTGGTCATAGAAGGGACTGAATCAAAGAACGATGGGCGAGTAGAAAAATTTGCGTTAGCTTCGCCTTTGGTATAGGCATCGGCATTAATTGAGGATGCGGAAGTGATGTGTACGGCCATATTAGGGCAGGTGCGATTTAATGATGGAAACCCGGAAGATGAAAGTGCGGAGCCAAATAGCGGTTTGTTAGGAGCGCAGCGAGAGTAGGCGGAGAAGAGACCGCCATCAGCATTGCTTATATTACCTATTGTCATGCATGTATAGAAACATAAAGTATTTGTTGGAAGCAAAATACCATAATTCAGACTTGTAATTTATGAAAGAAAATAGATTTATATCGATGTACTAAATCAAACATTAATAAAAATAAGTTATGTATTCTAAGTAAATCCAGATAAGCTGATGATAATTTGTGGATATAAAGCGACCGAATTTCACCATGAAACAGTAAAGGGATCAGAGAACCCCATATGGTTTTCAAGCCCAT